CTCAAAATCGAGTTTTTGCCCGGACACTGCCTTTAAAGTTAACTCACATCATAAGAATCCTCAACTTTTCTTTTACGCGGGTAAGGATAATCAGGTTCAATGACTTTGCGTACGGAACGAAAGGTCTGACATCCTTTTCGAAGACATCTAGAAATAGCGCATTGAGAATGTATGCTCCAACACAAATCACTATGCGATATAAGACCTGTAAGCTGCGTATTCACGAATTTCTCCTTTGTATTTCGTTTTCCGCAGACATAGCTTCATCGGATAATCGCAAAGATGACAGTAGATCTCCTCGGGAACCTCTGTTGTCTGACCGTTGAACGATACAATATGTGACGATGTGACGGCACTTCCTGGGAGAAATTGTTGAGCTTACACCATAGGTTATGTTAAATGATACCATCTGGCGATGCAGAGCTGACTGGGGCAAGACTTTCCAGGGTCACAGGACCGGACATGCGAGTAGGCAGAAGCTCGCGTCGGCTTGAATAGTTTTCAGAACCGTTAGCAACGACTGTGTTCCCAGTAGATTTTGTCTAGACATCAGCATTGAGCAACAATGATCACCAAGGTAGAGGAAACTCACCGAAGCATTGCTCCTTGCCTTCATCGCAGCGAGAGCTTCAGCAAGAGTGGGATTGAGCTGATCCAACGTGAGATTGTTATTCGCTGCCTGTGAATTTGAAGAACGCGGTCTACGAATACCGATGGCGCCTCCAAGCGTAACCGGGGAATATTTGGAAGATGTGGTGCCATCTGAAGAACGAATAACCATCTGTACAACTTTTCTGTGATACCACTGAATTCACACATACCTGGCATGACGCTGTTCAACTGGGGTGATCGGCTGAGAGGAGGTGAAGGAAGCTCAACCGGCAATGCAGATAGATGTTCACCTCTTGTTGAAGACGTTGGAAGCGGCACTTGAGGAATCGTCTCTTCTGGCAGTGCGGAGGTATATGCAACGCCATTTTCGAAACCCTGCAAAAGAATATTTTGACAAAAACTTCATATTTTTACAGAAGATTGACTGAAAGTATGAACAGATCTGCACTGAAACAAACCAAGTCTGCCTGATTCCTGATATGCACCCGAATCATAAGTACGCTTTTGTAAAGCTCAAAAACTGCTTATTTAAATCATTTTATCCATTCCACCTTCTGGCAGAATCTCACAGATGACAAGTGATGGCCATCAGTCAGATATGAGTAAGGGTTTGCGCTTTCCGCAGTCACGCCGTACTTCAACTAACTTTTTTTGTCTTCGAAATCTGTGCATAAGCAGAAGCAGTCGAACGACCAAACATTGAAAACCTTCCTGATTTTATCGCTGTGTTATACTCGAACAGGTCAATAAAAACCTACCACTCCCTCATTAGAGATCACGAAAGTATTGTCCATTGCCAGCTCTCTTTCCAAAAGTGGTGGTGTTTCCTCTACCTCCATTGGAGGCGCAAAGCGGTTGACTAGCTG